TAATCACATAAATGGCACTTAAGAAAATTTATGATATTAAAGTTAAGTACACATAATATATATAGGATAAAATGGAATTAAGATTAGATATTTGAATGATTAAAAGATATTAAAAATTACATAATTATTAAATAGAAATTACTGAAAAGTTATTAAAATCTATATCATGTAATTTTAGTATTAGAAATTTAATTTATGACATTTTTTAATGCATTTACACCTATAAATTATTTGTTTTATTCATTGCAACAATTGAAATTTATAGATAATAATTTTTATAATTTATTACATTGCAATTAATAATGAAATATTGAAGACTATTAATTTTATTGTATTATGATCTATGTGCATGTATTATACTTTATTTGTCTTAATAAGTATTAAGTGAAATGACATACTTAGAGGTGATAGATTACACATAGTAAAAATATTTGCAAAATACTTATATCGTGGATTAAATTAAATAGATAATGCAACAATATTGTAAAAATACTTAAAAAAATCCGTCTCGGAGGTATTATTGCAAAAACGCAAAAAAGTTATAAATTAGTAAATCAGCGTTAAATTATTTTCCACGAATTCAAGATCAATGCAATTACAATTCTTCATTTGAATGATTTTGATTATTTGAGTTTCTAAAAATTTTATATAAAAAATAATTCAACAATACTTGCAAAATTAATTAATAATCACTTCTATGCTACTTTTATGGGTGCCATAATAAAAATTTATTAAACAATTGAAAATTATTGTAAAAGTAATTTAAAGCCTAGGAATAAAAATCGCTACTATTTTACATTATTTCAGTCAAAGGCTTTGACTGAAACATGAATTATAATTGACTTATAATTGAATTGAATAATCTGACTAATTATAATTGACTAACTAAGGCTCGAATGTCATACAATGGAACTTGCACATACAAGTATATTTGCCTATCAAATCAATCTTCAATGGTATTAAAAAATTACTCACTTGTTTTGTCGCAATTTTAAAATTAAAGTTTTTTTTATTATTGACCACAATAAAATTCTTGAAACTTGTTTTTTTAAAGAACTTATCTACACATATGGCATACGATAGAAGTGTTGTATGTACTCAAACTTATTAAAAAATCTTGTAGATTGCATCAAAAACAAATTTGTGCCAAAAATAACATTTAATAAATCATTTTTTTTTACCCATTTTAAATTTAGATAAAAATAATTAACACTTAATAGTAAACAGTTATAAAATAATGGTTAACCACTATTTTATTTTTCAAAATAAAAAAAAAAATTTAATAAATTTTCCACTTTGTTGCATTTATCTATGGTATATAAATTGCAATTAATTTTACAACAGCCAATCACTATTATTTATTCATTTCAACAAGTTTCTCTCGCTTCATATGCAATTTCAAACAAATTGTGTTGATTTTGTTTTTTCTAATAATTTTTTTTTTACACCTAACTAACCATTATTATATTTTACTAACTTGTTAAACTAAATTGTAATAAATTTAATATTTAACCAGTTATGCTTTATGTTTATGACAGTTATATGTTGTACATACTCGCTAACATGCGTATAGATTATGTACTGTGTGTATATTGTATATGTAAAAATAGAATTTAATATTTTAATTATAAAATTAATTTGCATAAAATATACTTAGTATAGATATGTATGTATGTATATATACTCTTAACTTAATGTTTATCAATTAAATATAAAAATGTATAAAAGTATGTGTACGCAATAGTAATAAAACGTTCAATTTAAATAACATTAATAATATGTCATAAAAAACATAATTAGTATATATGACCACTTAACACCATTAATTTAAATATCAAAAAAATTCGAATGTAAACACTTTATGCACCTACAAGCATATTTGTTTTTATATATATATACATGAGTTATAATGAATAAGTGCATAATTTAAACATATTTTCCACAAACTTGTTTAATTTAAATTTAATGTAATGTAATTTATGCTTGTGCCATTTTAAATTATTGCTTTTATGTGCTTTATGTTGGAATTTCTTTAAGTGAATAGAAAATCAAGTTGCACTTACTACAGATTTATTGTGTCAAAAGAGTGTGTTAGGGAAAAATTATAATTCTATAGGCAGAATGCAATGCATACCATCTTGCAGGAGGCTCTAATAGCAAAACAGAGTCTCTTTAGTAGGAGTCATGTCATAAGAATGTAGATATTAGTTTTTGCTGTAAAATTATAATGTTCATAATAAATTGTGAAAATTTGTTTAAAATTAATTTTCATAATAACAATTAAGAACCTTTGTAATTAAACAAAAATGTTGAATGTATAAAAATGACTGAGTAGATCACGCCTTAAATCACACTTCCAAGTAAAATCGCATTATTGGGAATTGCCAATAAATTATTGAAATTTTAAATTTTTTTTAAATATTTCATATCAAAATTTTTTGGATTAAATTCCATTAATTTGCTTTTAAATAAAAATTTCATTAATTATTCAATAAAATTGTAAAATATTAAAAAAAAATTATAAATATACCGAGTTTATTTAAAATATAAAAGAAATTCCGTACAACTTGGGTATGTTACTTGAACCTGTTTTGAAAATATTTTATATATTTTGGGTATTTTATACATTTTCATTGATTTATATTTCAAACGTTAATAACTTATACAAAAAATCTGTATATTTTTTATATTTCGCTATTTATTGGAATTTTATTATAAAATATATTTTTATAATTATCTAAAATATTAAAATACACATTATATCTAGGTGTCAGTAAAATTAGGAAATTTAAAAAAATAAAAATTTTTAAAAAATTTCATAGAAACTATTTTGGTTTTTGATATATTTATGGTTTTAATAATCGATTTTAAATTTGTATAACAAAATTATTTTTAATAATACAATAATGATTATTGTAAATATGAATAACTTGTATATTTAAATATTAATTTGAATGAAATATGAAATATATTGGTCGTAAAAACTGACAAATTATAATTTATACAAAATTAATTTGAAATTAAATAGTGTTGATGCTTGTGTTGGAAATTATGTGAATCTCATTATATATATACATATAAGTATATATATATAACACAAAAGCACTAATAATATGCGGTTCCTATAAAAAAAAATTTATTTTATGTCCTCCAAATATTTGTGATGGTACGTCAAAAAGATATTTTTTTATTCATTTATCTAGGTTTTTAATGCAAATGACAAATAATTTAACACTGACACGTAGATTGGATTAGAAAAATATTTGGAATCAATACAAAATATGAAAATTAAAAAAAAATTTAATTTTTTCAAAAAATTTTTTATTCATGCAAATTGAATTTGTTACAAATTTCTAGAAATTCATAAAAAATAAATAAAATATTGCAAAATTTTTATTTATTTTTTATGAAAATAATTGAAAATTTCTCAAAAAAAAAACTGATCAAGTGTAGAGAACCATGAAATTTTCCAAATGTGCCACACAATTTTCCTTCAACAATTCTTTTCAAAAAATATATATTGTTTGGTAACAATCACTGTCATTATAACAAAACTTTGGTATATTTAGCACTTAGGGGTACGAGTACCACAAATGTACCACGGTAATGATAGAAATTTTACCATTGAATTCGATTGAATAATCAAAATTAGTATTAGATAATAATTGAATTACATCTATTTCGAATTCAGATATTTTTGAGAGATGGGGTTATTCGAATTATGTAGCTTCCACTGAATGTATTTTGGAGAAAAACATAGTCCCATATCCTTTGAGGGTACAATATTGTGTTCCATTTTATCAGCTATTTTAAGATTTTCTTGTCTTTTATTACAAACGAATTTGAACAATTTATTTTTTATTTAATAGGAGAAAACAATTATAGAGTCAGTTAGTTTCAAGACAACAAAAAACCATTATTTAAAATAAAGTTAAAAAACAAAAAAAAAAATTAAAAAAAAATTCATTATCATAAATCACATGAAAAGAAATTGACAACAATTGAAACAATAAAATTAAGTGAACAAGGACGTTACAGTAGATTTCCTTTAAATATTATGGCACCTATTCTTAACAAAATCAAAATTATGAAAAATAAAATAAATCAATTCTTCCTTTCTTTTTTCATCCCATATATTTGAATGGAATGATTGGCAAAAAAAAATGTCAACTGCTGGGTTTGTTTAAAATTTTTACGGTCAAAATACAATGAAAAAATTGATTTTATTTTAAAACTAACTATTTAAGAACAATGTTTCTCTCTGCCTTACAATTTTCAAATAATATTAAATAGCTGTGTAGTCTTATAGTGAAACAAATTAGAAACTCTGAGCATTTCTTTTCTCACTTTTGATATTTAAAATAATTGTATAGGTACTGCTGTTATAAGAATGAACTAGGAGAAAATGTTATACCTACTGTTTTTAAAGACCATGAATTCATGATTCAAAATAATATTCAATAAATAAAAAAATTATATGAAGGAAAATAATGAAATTTAATTAGTTACAGGATTCCTGCAGCTCTCAGTATTACAAAAAGCGTTAGAATTTTGATATACATTTGTATAGTTAGGTATTCATTGTGGAAAAGAAACTTTTTATAATAAAAAAGAAACCGAATGTATTCTATGATTCAAGCTTAAGTAGAGTAAAATCAAAATTTTATTGTTACTCGATTGACGAGAACTTGAGCTATATATTAAATGTCGCAGTTTTTCATTTGTAGCTTATCCTTGTTGCTGTAGTTTTACTATAGAGAAATTAATTAAATTTGTTGAAAATATATACATATAAAACTTTTCAATGAAATTCGAAAGTATTGTTCTTGCACTCTTTAATAATTATACGGTCAATTTCGAAAACATAATAAATATTCTTAATTTAAAAAAAAAATACCAATTTCCTATATTTAAAATAATTCCACATTTCCGTATTTTATGAACGAACGTCATATAAATCAGACATCGAATTATAAAAATATTAATAAATTATAACTTACCTGTGACATAATTCTATCAGCTCCCGTACCTTCTTCATCCTTAAATATAATATCCTTATTATAATTTGGTACTAAATTTTTAAATTTTGAACTATTTCTATCCACTTTCCCTTCCCTTAATCCAGATGCACCAAGTGTATATTCAGATACATTTGGTACATGTTGTTTAAATACTAATGGTACTAATCTACGACTACGTCGTGGTCCACCTAATCCTCGACCGGGACCACATGCATTTATTTGTTGTAATATTGTTAATAATATTATTAAACTAATAAATAATTTTTTAATTAATGGCATTTTTTTAACTAATTTAATATTATACATAATATTATTGTTATTTATATTATAATTATTAATAATATTATAATTATTATAAATATTATTTGTTCTTTTAATATTATAATAATTAATTTTATTATAATTTTTTCTATTATTATTGTTATTACAATCTATTAAAATCGTCAGATTCATATTATCGCATAATTTATTTCTCATAATATTCAAAAAAAAAAAAAATAATTGAAAAAATTTTACTTCACTTATTTATTTTCGAATAAATTCGAAAATTCGAATTTTGTTTTTTTATTTTATTTGTTTTTTTTTTATAATAAAATTAATTTAATTTTCACAAATTATTACGATTTTTTTTTTAATTATTTTATTTTAAGAATAATTCAGAAAATGCTACGAAAAATAATAAAAATAGTAATTTATCGTCATTTTTATTGACGACATACTGGAAAATCACTTTATTCACACACACGTTTATTTTACAAATTTTTCAAAAAAAATTTTCAATATTTTCAAAAATAAAAAATTTTTTTAACTATTTTGCACGAAAACTTTTAAATCATAATTTCATAGTTCGATTTCACACAAAATTCAGTTTTACCGTTATTTGAATTCGTAATTATCTCACTGGGTACAATTTCCAATATAATTAAATATAATTTTTTTTTAATTTTACAACTAAATCAAAATTTGATTCGCCAAATATTTAAAAATTAATTTTTAATTAAAAAAAAAATTAATAAATTCGCGAACTTTATTTAATTTATTTTTTTTTAGTTTTTTCTCTTTGGCGATTGAGAACGAATTTTGTAGAATAATTTCAAATTTATTTCATAAACGAAATTTATAAAATAATTTTTCACTTTATTTTTTGCATAATTTCTTATTTTCTGCTTATTCAAACTTGTTTAAGAAATTATTTTATTAATTTTATTTTTTATATATAATAAATAATTATTATATTCTAATACAATATATTTATTTTGTAATTTTTACTTTTAATAAAATTCTCGAATCGTAACGTTATAACCTAGTGAACAACTGATTGACAAATGACATATCATCGAAGTAAAGGTGCTATGCGCGTTTGCATTAACACTTTTACACTTTTCAAAAAGAAAAAATCATATAAGTATATATATTTTTTTTTAAATGTTCATTTCTCATAAAAATTCCTTAATAGTTATATTTTCAGTTATTGAAATTTTTCAATGTGTTTGTGTTTAAATATTTTAGTATGTATATATGAAAATAAATAAAATGATAAAATTCATTTCATAGTCTTCTACCTCTACAGGATTGAATGAATAATGAACAAGAGAAAATGAATTCTGCGGTTGTTGTTGCTGTATGGTAAACGATGAATATTAAGAGAGAATATACGAGAAGTGGTGAATATTATTGATAATATTTTTATCTTCTATAATAATTATGAATGGTGATAATAAAAGTTTATTGTTGAAAACAACATTTAAAAATGAATAATGAATTGCAATAAAAGAAATTAGTTCATTTTTTAAGATATACGGGTATAGGTAAAAAAAAACTATTTTGATAAAATCAAAAAAAACAAAAAAAATTATACCAAATATACATATATAAAAACAGTCCTTACGGTATTTTTTGTCTCAATTATTACTGGTAAAATTGGTTTCAGAAACTACACATACAAACTGTAAAAATGCAATACTGCAAGAACACAAAGTGATGGATATACAAATCTTACAATATATTTTTGACAATTCGATACAAGCAGAATAGTTCGTATTCATACATGATTTAAGTGTGCCACTCATAATAATGTTGCTATATTGCAGAAATGCTCCAATGTTTATGAACAACATAAATTAACGTAGCAACATTTCTCTATGAACACAAATATAGCGTTGTTTTCACTATATATTCTCGCAAAAACGCAGTATTTCAATATTTGGATTTATGAAAACAATAAGTGTTTTAATTGATTTCCAACAGGAGCGTATTTTAATTAAATTACTTAACAGGACCAACAATTTTATCAAAACTATTATACACCAAAATAAATATAATTGTCCTACAACACTGTATTTATTTTGATCTTTATAAAAATTTCAATTTTCGAAATAAAAATAATTTTTCTACTTTATTTATATTTGATCTTGCAATTCACAATATTATGGTTTACTACCATATTAAAAATTAAATCATTTGTTTATAAATTGATCAGAATGGAATAGAAAATTGAAAATTGACTCTTAACTAATCCCAATTAAATTCACTTATTTATTGGTTCACCCACAAATATTCACCATAAAATGAACTTTTTTTCCAAATGTATTAGTTTATTTTTCACCATTCATAAAAATATATTTTACCTTTTCAACACAAAATACTTTTTCTTCTCTCATTAAGGAAGCCAAAAACATAAAAGAAATAAAATATAAGAAAAGATGAATGAATAAAATATAAAGTGGGAGGAGTTAAAAGAGAATCGCGCAACTAAATATGCGTACTTTTCTATATTATAAAATAATAAAATTTAATACATTCAAAGAAACTCAACACGCACACAAATACAATAAAGGTAAATGGTACTCGTATGAATTGAATTTTTAATCCTACTTTTAAATGTGCACAATACAAAAAAACAACAATATTCTTAAATATATCGGTAAATTTATCTATATTACCTGTTATTACATACATATTTATAAAATAAAATCTTATATACTCATATAAAAACAACGATTTAAAGGTATTACATATGTATACCATGATTATACCAATGTATATACTTACATACATAAAACATTTTTTCCTCTTCTTTCATTTTTTTTTATTAACCAAAAGTTATTTTTTATCTCATGTTTTATGTATTTCATTAAATACCTTGGTATTTATGTTATTTAATCGGTTTTACTTCTTTCATAAGTCAAAAAACCAAAAACAAAAAAAAAGAGAAAAATAACATGAAAAGAATCACTGCTTTTAGGGCTAGTTATTGTTAAGCAAAGAAAAAAGAAACCAAAAATAAGTAGAAAATCCAAAAAATATTTTATTCTATGGGGGGCAATTTAAATTTACTATGAAACATAGAACTTGGCTAATTCTCAAATTCGTGCAATTTTAAATTGGCGTTTTTACTTAGAAATATTCAATTAGTTAGCAATGTTTCAAACACATAACAATGATTTCAGATTCAAAGCAATTTGTAATAAAATTTAATAAAGTGTCTTGTTAATTTTTGTTCTTGATAGTTTCTTCGACCAGAAAGCTCTTACTTCCCAAATTATTTAGGGAACCATTACTTTAGGGTAAAGCAATTTTATCATTTTATATTCTAAAATTCTGTTATTAAATAATAGTTAGGAATTGGTACACCCCACTTCTTGGAATTTACATAGGTACTCTTAATTGTGGATCTTCCCGCTCTGAAATTTGGTCATATACAATCATCTTTTGTATTGCAAACAATAGAAATAGCCATATTTGAAATATTTTTGTTCTAACAAAATAAAATCCAGTTATTTTCTTCATCTATCATATCTATTTTCAATTTGCTCATAGCTTCAATTTTCTATTTGCTTGTCACGGTACTTGGTGTGCCAAATTTTTAAATATCAATGTATTTGTATTCCAGTTGTACTCGAATTTTATGAATAGCTACTTCTATTATTCCATATGATTGTACCAATTTACAAAAGAAAAAATTTTTTTTTCTTACTTCCCTCACAAACACCATCATTTTTTATAGCATTTTCAGCTTTTTCCTTAAAAATTTGTGTTGCAGTTAATATTTTTATTATTGTTATTATTATTATTGGTGATGTCCTCATGAGATGATATGGCCGCCGGTACTAAATTAAAAGAAAATCATAGTCTGGAATAATATAAATATGTATGTAAGAGTATACAAATAATATAAAATGTAGATTTATATAATATTTATGTATATAATGTGCATGTATTGTACATTTCTCATTGTTATTAAAATTTTTGCCACAAAAATTCTCATAGCTGCAAAAAGAAGATTTGATCTGGTTTTTTTTATAAGACCACAAAAATTTCGGTTCAAATTTTTTGCTTTTGATTTGTGTTGTTCTTTTTTGAAACAAAAGATAAATGCACTAAATAAAATAATTTATGTAAATAGGTATATACCATAGTTTTAATTCATAAGAAAACGGGATGCATACATACATACTCTTTGTATATTATGTATATGTGTATGTACATGAATTGTTAAATATAAAACCAAAATCCCATCAAAAATATTGGGTATGGTATTATTTAATATCATTGAAAAGAAATCGATGGCTCGAAAATATCAATAAATATTATAATGAAAAGAAAATTGGATTCATTTTCTTTTTGATTCAGTCGAAAATTTGATTTCAGTTTTCTTGATTTTCTTGTATATTATAAATTGATATTGCTAATTAGATAAGAATTTAGGTGTTTTGGGTTTTTGTATATTGTTATTCATTGTAATGATTAATTCTGAAAAATTTGTTTGATATTAAAATAAATTCCAATAAAGAATAATTGTGAGTAAAATTATAATGTAGGAAAATTCCAAATTTTAAACATTTTAGAGAAAATTAAATTAATTTGGATTTTTTGTTGAAAAATAATAATTGGATTCAATTACGGTTAATATGAAAATATTGAACAAATTGGAAAAAAAGTTTTACAGTCCATAGACTGTTTTTAATTAGAAAAATTAAAAATTTAGGTGAAGATTGTTGAAATTAGTAATGGTCAAATGAAGAGTTAGAAAACAATGGTGGCGATTTGCTAAAACATTATTACATACAAGCAAATTCATAACTATCTTGGAGGCAGTATATGAAAGTATTTATCGAGGTCTTAGCTAAGAACTTTTTGTAAATTTAAAACTTGAGCCTATATCTTTTGTAGTACTGTTGCATAGAAATGCTATAATATTAATGTTTAATTTCAAATGTTGGATTTTCTGAAGCAATTTTTCATGA